TATCAGATATATATATATATATATCTTTTAGTGGTAAGGGGATGCGTACAGAATTTTTATAATACGACGATAAAACAGAATGCAATTCTTTACTGGTAGCTGTCAAATTTTTATTTGAGCCATAAAGACGCTCTTTCAGTAGTGGTTTTTGTCCAATTTTCAAACACATTCGCAATGAAGTATGATAATTATGAAAAATTGGATATGATAGTCATTTTATACAAACTGGAGAAGAAGCAGAAGCAGCAAGCAATTTGTATCACGAGAGGTATCCAGAGAGAAGACAACCTTTCAGAGACATTTCCGCAAGATTGCGACACAACCTAATTGATGATGGTCAATTTGAAAAGAAAAAGCCAAAATTATATGAATCAAATAGGGATAAGTAGGAATTGGACAAAATAGTCATTTTAGGAGCTGTTGACAATAATCCCAAAACGTCAAAGCGAAATTTGAAAATATCAACATGCCTACCAAAAACTAACGTGAGGAGGATTCTGAAAAAACATAAATTCAAGCCAGACAGGACCAGAAAAGTTCATCAATTCAGACCAGGAGATTTTGAACGCCGCATGGCTTTTTGCCAGTGGTTCCTGGAAAGTTGTAAGCAAGTGCGTGATTTTTCGTTGAATTGTATTTGGACAGACGAAGCTTGTGTGAGCAGTGCCGGCATTTTCAACCGCTACAATTCTTATACAACAAAATCCTCATTCTATTGTGGAGCAGGAAAGTTAAGGAAGATTTGGATTTAGTGTGTTGGCAGGTGTTTTCAAGGATATAATTATCGGCCCGTTCATTTATAATGGCACATCTCAGAGGTATGTAGAAATTCCAAGGCAAAATATTGAACCCCTTGTTGATAAATTGGCACTAATGGAACTCAGGAAAACATTTTCTCAACGAGACGGGGCATCGCCTTACAACACTGCAATTGTCACCAATTTTTTGGCTGAAAATTTTCTTAATAATTGGGTAGCCAACCAAGGACCCAACCGTTGGCCGGGCAAGTCATCGGACCCATTTTATTTTTGAATTGCCAACCAATTCTATATACGAATTGAAACTCTCAGTGATGCAAAGTTTTGCTTCTCACTTCTACTGAATTAGTGATACACTGTTTGGAACCTTTGGTGTAGTAATGAATATTACTGGATCTTCCTCTTGAAGATGATCACTTGGAGATCGAAACACGTGTCGAGGTGTTAAATTAACGGTTTGGTATTGGGAAAAAAATCCAGTAATATTCATTATTGAACTCATTGATTCGGCAAATAACGTTCAGAAAAGGTGTCGCCTGTATGTAAGAGAAGCTGGTAGATATTTCGAACACATTCTCTGAAGAAATATATTTTATTGTTTGTTCATTATCAAGTTTCATTTATTAGCAGTATACACGGTATGAATTGTTATCAGTTTTATTGAACCTATGCGTTTTGATTATTGCTGTGAAAAGCTTTCTCAACATTTGATTGCTACTAATGAATAATTTCTTTTTGTTTTATCGCCGGCGCCGCGTCGTCCAAAGACTTCTTGATCAAATTGTGCGTTTCAAAGTCTACATGTAAAAACATAAAAGCTCTGTATTTCAAAGATGACTTTAACAAACCATCAAGTGTGCTACATTTTTGGAAGGGGAATTTTAAGCTCTTTGAAATATGCAGAAATATACAGGTTGTCTCATTAAAAAAGTTTTTTATACCATTGAATTCTAAGTAAAATGTTTTCATAGAAACAAGAAATTTTTGGCAGGAAAAAAGTTACAGCAACTTTTCAAAAATGCACATTTTCGAAAAACATGCTCAGAAACGATGATAGATATTGATATATGGTTTTCACCATTTGTCATAAAATTTGACCCTCAGACACAACCATCAGTTTTCATCTATCCAGTTCGAAAACAGGAGTTTCCCTTTGAAAATGTCCAATTAAGCCCAAGAATAAATATTTTTCAGTGATGCTTAGGGTTGAATTTTTTTTCTGAAATCAGGCGGTTATTTTCCAATTCATATATTATGTAACAAAAATATGTAAGTTTGCTTGCTATTATTTTCGTTTCTTTCAAGTTGATAAGTAAAATGATGAGTAGAATTATTCCATTGGGAAGTATTTTATCACCTCGAATACATATCGAAAACAATTATTTATCGAATGTTTCTGCAGTGAAATAACGACAATAATTTTGACTACTGACATCTTCTATTCTTTAACTACCCTTCATTTCTTAAATTTAAGTTAGTTATCAATACCACCCTATTTGTCGGTTAATAACAAAATATCGACTTTTCAAAAAATTTAACACCAGTGATATTTCAACTGTTAAACAGTGTCAATTTGTTTTATTTAGGTTTTGAAAAAAAACCACCATGTACCACTTTTTTTTTCAGCATCCGAACAACAATGTGAATACGAAGGTCTGCAATGCTTGGATGAAAAATATCATCAGATAGCTGTTTTGAAAGCCTCCTGGTCAAGTAGAAATGGACTTGTGTGCGGTTGTCTGCCAAGTTGCACAGAAATTGAATTATCCGTTATAAGGGATGATAAAACAGGGTAATAACAAGTTCAAAAATATGTTAAGTCCTAATTATTATATCAATTATTTTCTAGCACTGTACATGAATACGCTACTGTGGAACTCTCCCTAGAAAAATTGCCAACTGAAATGTTCAAGAGAAAAGTTGTTCGAGGAAAACTTGATTTAGTCGGTGAGAAATTGGCAATATGAAAATGTCACATAAGAGAATATGTGCAAAATGTTCAATTCATATGAAATATTTGGACGTTCTTAATAATTAATATTCAGGGGGTATCTGCTCTCTGGACAAAATGTCGACTCATTGAAAATGTACTATTCTGAAATTAATTTACTGAATTAGTAAACTAGAGTATTACCGTTCTCAGATCTGATAAATTTTTAGCCAGTATAAACCCGAAACTCACCACTCAAACTGCAAATTCTTCCGAAATAATTTATCTTTAACATTTTGATCAATATCATAGGCTTTCGACTCATGCATTTTTCGGAAAACGTATTATTGGCAATTCAAAGTTACATATCTTTCAAACTATTGAACGTATTTTTGGAAACAAAGAAGCAATGGATAGGTCAGCTGCGATTGAGGAGATGAAGTATTTGCAATAGTTTCTAGGTGGAAACTCGTCACTCTCACAAATAAACGAATAATTGTTTCCCTGACAAGTTCTGCCTTGCAGTGCGCCCATTCTGTATATAGGAAAAATATCCAAAGGTCAATGAGAAAACTTTGATTTCACCCACAAAAAATGACATTCGATCAATATTTGTGAATATTCACACATTTTCACTGTATAATTAGAAAGATGATCTCTTCTGACATTTAGTATATTTGATAGTCGTTTTTCTGAATATACGTCTGAATTTTTCATTTTGCACGATAAAACAGATACTGTCACGTGACAATTTTGAATTTGTGGAAATTACATTATATTCTGTTTTGGGGAAAAAATCTGGGTTATCAGATCATCTCAATCCAAAAGTGTATAACTTGAAGATCTGTTTTATCCTTCGACCACCTCACCCATATATCATTTGAGATATACTAGTGGGCAAGTTTTTTTTTCATCAGGTGTGTGTGTGTGTGTGTGTGTGTGCGCGCATGTGAGTGTGCGTGTGAGTGTGCGTGTGTGTGTGTGTGTGTGTGAGAGAGAATGCACGGTAAAGGGTTTCATCATGTGCTTGTCTGTGTACAAACATACGTCTGCATACTTCGAAGGTCCTCCAAGTACTGAATGATCCATTGGTGTGAGATCACCAAGTTAGTAGTGGTGTGACGTCACAGCAGCAATCGTTCAACGGTAAGAGAGCGAGATGTTCACTCCACGACGTGTGGCTGAGTAATGCGTATTCATCGGTGTGTCCTCACCTCCCTCGATGCGGTGAAGGCTGTGACGTAACGCATCGCTCTAGTCTCGCTGTCAATGGTGACGCGCAGGTGGCGAGGACTGTGTTAACGTCTGCCCTCTACGAGAGCGCAACGATCACTGTCTGTTCGTATCGACATATGTTAACGCATCCAGCTGGGAGGTAGGCTTGGCTGTGACGTCAGGCATCTCTAGTGGGTAGCAACTAGCAATGTGAACCTTTCACGGTTTCATGGTGGGGGTGACTCGCGCTGTTTAACATAAAAGAAATGCCTGGCACACTATGAAATCAGTAGAGGAATATATCTGCAGCAGTTAGCAATTGGTAGAGTGTTATTCAGTTCGTAATAGAAGGAAGACGGTGAGTGTATCTTTCTGTTGGAAATTGTTTATATTCTCATACATATTTTCATCATGTTCGTTTCAAAAGTAGACTTAAATAAAATCAATAATTTGATTGAGGAAGAGGTTGAAATACTAGAGCAAAAGGCTTTATCATCGTTACCAATTGATGAAATGTATATAATTAAGAATATGTCAACTTATTCTATAAGGTTCGGTAAATCAATTTTATTAACTTTGGAAGATGTGAGCAATAATAAATTATTCAAAACATGGCTATCAAAACGTATTTCGCTGCAATTCAGTGATGACGATATAACTTGTATCAACTCATCGGGTGGTAAATATACGATGGTGTATTGAGGTCAAAGCCCACAAAGTTTTGCTGGCATGGAAACGCGATCTCTAGTCAAATTCGATATGATTGAATAATAATAGTAATTATTTATAGTGAATTTCTTTTTGTTTCAATAATATTCATATTAGATGATGATCGGGTGGAAAATATACGTTGGTGTATTGAGGTCAGAGCCCGCTAAGTTTTACAGGTATGAAAACGCGATATCCAGTTAAATTCAATATGATTGAATAATAATAGTAATTATGTATAATGAATTTTTTTTTGTTTTGATAATATTCATATATAAGATGATTTAGATGATAATTATATGGAAATATAAATATTACTAACATAATTGAATACACTCACTTTATAACTACAAGAAAAATGGGAATGTGAGTATTATATCATGGAAACAAGTTGGAGGTTGCTTATTGTTTTTTTTTATTCGATTTCAGTTCCACCATTCAAAGATGTGGATGCAGTAAGCAAGTCAAGATTGGATCTATGTTGTATATCCGACAGGTGTCAGTGCAGGATTCTTCACAGAAGTTATTCCTGCACATGCTGTTGGCGATACAACTGCCGCAATTAATTAAACGCCCTTCGTGGTATTAGCTAGGGGAGTAGTTGTTTTCTGATAGGTGTTAGTCCATTAACCTACTGTGTAGGGAGTTGAGACTGGCCTGAACGAATTGTTCTTAGATAATTTGATTTATAGTCAGTCTTCAAGTATGCCCACTAACTATATGTGAAAGTTTCCTTTCCTTATACGAGAAATTGGGCAAATTTCGGATATGCAGTTGGTTAACTCGTTCACAGGCAGATGGGGCGACGACAAACCTGTTGTTTGTTGTATGCTTCAGCTTAGTTCCAGGAATGATACTCTGACGGAATTCGATTTTCAATTATCGGAAATCATCGACTTTATGTTGATGATATACACTACCTTGCACTGACGAGTGGCCAAACAGCCCGAAACCGGTCTGCAAGTGTGTTCCAATAATTGAAAATCTATTGCGGCAGTTGTATCGCCAACAGCATATGCAGGAATAACTTCTGTAAAGAATCCTGCACTGACACCTGTCGGATATAATTCAACGCCTTTCGTGGTAATAGCCAGGAAAGTAGTTGTTTTCTGATAGGTGTCAGTCCATTAACCTACTGTGTAGGGAGTTGAGACTGGCCTGAACGAATTGTTCTTAGATAATTTGATTTATAGCCAGTCTTCAGGTATGCCCACTGACTGTATGTGAAAGGATCATTTCGATCAAATTCTATATCGCTATGACCCCATGGAAGAGTTCGAGTGGTATTCGGAATGATGAATCTTTTGTCGTCGTGATATGATAAGGCGACTTTATTCTTCAATTCAGTGTAAATATCATGCAATACGCTTCTGAACGAGTTCATCTTCCTGAATATCATACCTTTCTCTTCGATAATTTTTTCATAGTCTTCGCATGTCAATTCATTCTTTATAACAGATCGTTTGATGCCTTTGGCCTTCTTCAGTTGACCATCAACATATTTCACATAATACGCTTTAGCACCTGTACCGTAAAAGCTGATTATTGGATCGTTTGGAAATTCATCCTTGAAATTACCCAGAACTGACTTTGTCACTGAAATATTGAATTGGTTTCCTATTTTATAATTAGATGTATAGAAATTATTTAAATTATTTTTGATAAATTCATGGAAATTGTCTGTATTTACTTTGAGAATAAGAAAGTCGTTATCAATGTAGAGCAAGGACGCATCTTCTCCAAACTGTTGTTTGATAACTCCATAGAAAAAATCATACATAACTGTTTTGGATAATTCCAGAATGGAAAATCCCAAATACAGTGGTTTATCATAATGAACTTTTACTCCAGCCAATTGAATGGCAATGAAATTTTCTGTAAAAATGGAGCATTTTTTAAAATTTGGTCGCGATATGAGACAACTAGCACCTATCGTTCTTTTTATATTTTCCCAATGTGTAAAGAGTCTAACATCCATTCTATTGTCTACGTTTTCCATTGTTTTTCCATAGACTGAATTATTCATTAGTTTGTAGAAATCTTTTTCAGATTTGTTATTAGACCGATTACGCATTTCAGTATTCAAATCTATATAGGGCTTCATCCAACATGATTGCTTGAACCTCAATACTCTTTGTGTGTTCATCACTATCAAACCATGATTGACAGCTTGCTGTAAGTTTCTATAGTGAACAATATATTTTCTTTTATCGTTTAAATTTGGAAATAATTTGGGAACTTTCGATTTGGCATATGGAGGTTCAACTAAGAATGGAAAATCGGAATGTTTATCGTGAAGTTCTTGGGGATAATGTGTATCCACTTCCAATACATCTCCATAAGGACTATCAACATCCAGATTCATTATATCAAGATTGAGAATTTCAGAATTTGAGATATTAACCATGAAAATTCACCTGTTGGTAATGGTTGTGACATGCTGTCACCATATAGATTTGTTGCATCCAAATATGAAATGAATGAAGATGGTTCATTTGGATTATAATTCGGTAAAAATTTATTATTTGCTTTATGTTTCCTTTCACTACATTGACTGATTCCACCACGAATACCTTTTTGAAAGAAGTGAACCATATCAATATCAGTTAGTAATTCCAATTCAATATTAGTATATTTCAACATGGCATCCCACGATAATTCGGGTGCGGTGAAGTATTGTGCCGAATCCAATTTATATTTATCAACAGATATATTTCTAAAGTTTTCAAAAATGTCACAGAATAGTAACACATCTGATTTTGAATATAAATCAGAGTATTCACCCGAATTCTGACATTCGAACAAATTCCATACATGTTGAGCTCTCCCATAATCATTATCTAATATATGTTCACAATTGAGTTTATCGTAAAATTGATTTTTGGTTGAAAGTCTTGCATGATTCAGTTTGTCGATGTCATCAACAAAACTATAGGGAAATACACCTTTCTTTCTCATCAAATTGAAATTTTCAATTTGATGAGAAATTGTTGCGCATCTCGATACACTGATCAGATGTTGAATTTGCTCCTAAATTCTTCAAAGAACTAGGCATGAATCTGCAACTATCAATGAATCTCATTTTCAAATAATT